TCTCTCTCTCTCTCTCTCTCTCTCTCTCTCTCTCTCTCTCTTTCTCTCTCTCTCACAATACTCTCTTCAGCACAATATTCGATTCATCGACCGCCCTCGAAAAGAGGTTCGTTGCTGCCGCTATTGCTGTACGGAGTCCGTTATCGCCAAATTATCGTATTAATTACTCGTCTGAGAAACTCGCGCTAATTAAGCCGTCTCGCTTGGCACGATAGGATTTTCGCGATTATTGTGAGATTATCGAGTTTTGCGACAACGACGACGATGACGACGCATTGTCTTACATCGATTGCGCGTCCTACCGCGCTTGTTGTCGTCATGGTTGTGGCAGCGTTTCCATCCGTGATAAGATAAGGACGCGTATCTATCCTGAAACGAAGATGAAACTCGAATCGATCGGACAGATCGTCTCTCATATCTGAATCATAAATTTATTATGCTCCCCTTATACACGAACGATCTTGTACATTTTGATTGCGTGTCACATGATATGCGTATATCTGTCGGGTCTATCAGAGTGGCAGTTGAAAGATATTTCCCGGCCAGTGCGCGTGTAATAATCCGGCCGTTCGGATCACGTGCTCCGTGCAATAATCAAAACGATTCTAATTAAGGGTGGAGCTTTTAACGAGACATCCTATTTTCTGCCTGCAGAATGAAGCTGTGCTGGAGCCTGCTTCTAGCGGCCATCGCCCTGTCGATGATCCTTACGGTCGCACGAGCGCAAAATGATGGACTGTGGGAGGAGGACGACAAGGAGGTCCTTGTGCGGACGGTGCGCGGCACTAACGAGCGAAGTGAGTTCCCCTTTTTGCAATTAATCTGCTACTTTTTTGCGATCGCAATGTTACCTCGAGCCAAGCGCGGCCTGTGAACCGGTTGACTGGTTTGCCTGTGCGTGTGTATGTGCATGTGCAAACACGGCACGTCCGTGGACGGCGTAATTAAGTCGCTCCTTGTCGTCTTGAAAAGTTTCTCTCTACTCGCTTGATCGACGTTACGTCCAATTGTTTCTATTGACGTTTCGCATCTGGCTGACACAGCATCCGGCGGCTCCTCGTCGTGCAGATATGTGAAGGGTCAATGGTCGGAATGCGACCCGAACACCAACACGCGGTCGCGCACCCTGAGCCTCAAGAAGGGCGACAAGTCCTGCGAGCAGACCAAGATTATCCAGAAGAAATGCAAGAAAGGTGAGCGCGCCCGCGATTAACACCGGTCTCCGCCGCCGTCGTGGTGTCACCGGTATGACGACGGCGCTGCAGGAGAGCCACCGGTGACGGCATGTTTCCATTTTTCTTTTTCTAATCGACTGTTGATCGCAGCGTGTCGATACGAGAAAGGAACGTGGAGCGGATGCGTGAATCAGATGATGACGAGAATCGATAATCTGAAAGCGAACAGCGACGCAACCTGCGAGAAGATGCGACGGCTCACCAAGAGGTGTAAACAGGAGACCAACACCAAAAAGTCCGCCAAAGGTAATTGTATTGTTATTTGCTCGTATCGATCAATTGCACGAACGCAAGAAAGAACGAGAAAAGAAAGAGGACGAGAGAGAGAGGGAGAGGAAGAGGGAATGAAATAGCGATCGCATCCGCAATCTTCCGCTTCTCTTTGCAGGCGAGAGGTCGAACAAGAAGTCGGGCAAGCAGTAATCATCCGCCAATCTCCAATCGTCTCCTCTAATCGGGCAACGAAAGCGCACTCTCATCTCCTCGACCCTTATCTTCTCGATCCTTTATCCAGTCGCCAATTGATTGCGAGGCAGGGCGCACGAATTTGGATAGCGGCGGGACTACCAGTCGGAGCAGCCGTTTACACACGACACACACACATAGGTACACACACGCACACAACACACATACTGCCCGGGAATCATGCATTTCGGCATGCAGCGACCGCACAGACCGTCGCTGTGCGACCGCGTTTTCAGGGTGCGCTGCCGTCGGTTAATTATAACGAGTTAATTACTGTTAATGATTCGGGATGGTGTGCGCGTCTCGGTGATCGTTGCTTCCGGTTCTCGGCGGAGGTTATTAACCCTTCCAGGATCGCACTTACGTACCGTTACCGCGTTGTCGTGGATTGAAACAAAGTGAAAAGGGAGAAAGAATTTTCAGCTCCAAGAGAATATCTTTCTTTCGTTTTAGTCTCGCTCGTCGAAGAAGCTCGCTCTTCTGTATCTAACCCGTTGACATAATTCGCGACAACTTCCCTCGTAGAGAGAAAGAGAGAGAGAGAGAGAGAGTGTGTGTGTGTGTGTATGTGTATATGTGTGTGAGAATGAGAGAGTAAGAGAGTGCGAGAGAGAGGAGTTATTGATCGCGCGGTAGTTTTCTAAAAATGGCACGTCGGCAAGATCTTGGGAGGGTTAAGCCGCGCAATCAACCGGAGAATCGATTGGGAACCGATACGTAACACGTTTATTATCGAGATGACGAAAAGTTAGACGTATCATCAGCGTCAGGGTGTGTTGGTCGAACGCACAGTGGTGTAGTAGCTCGCGTAAGCGAAGCTGAGTATTTAAACGCGAATTGTTCACAATATACGGGAGAGAGAGAAAGAGAGGGAGAGACTCTCTCCCTCTCTCCTTCTCTATCTCTCTTTAGCGACGACGTGAGATCTTCCCGATAAATTCGGAGATCCAAAGTGATTCACAAGTAAGGACTCGAGCGTTAGCGTCTCTTTCCTTTCCTCCACTCCCCCACTCCCCGTAGCATGTTCTTGCAAAAATCTGCACCACTGGCTGATCGATTAACGATGTAGAGCGCGCGTGTAGAGAGCTCCCCTGAACTTTAGAAAGCAGCCGATAATTTCGGAGGTTCGTAGAGGAAGGTAAAAAGATCGTCTGCCAAAGCTGTTCTCTCGTCTTCCCGCAGCGAATTACTATTTTATTTTATTATTATAACAATTATTAATATATTATATTATTATTGTTCTCATTATATCAAGAAACAGCGGTGAGACTTCCCTTAGCTGCTGAGATCCTCTTGAAAAAGGGAAAAAAAGGAATCATGTACAATGTTTGTCATACATAAACGGCTTTCATTCGATTGTGACATAAATATACAGTGTTCGGTGTTCAAAGTAACTGTGTCCTCATGTAACGTGTGCGCGAGATATTCCGACAATTATTACGCCGTCGCGAAGGTTCGAAAATTCAGATTAATAACGAGGATTTCCGGGGATGCGCGTGAAAGCGTGGAAACGGCATCCTGGCGACGGAATCTTCGTACGGTCAAACGGTGAATCAAAGATTTCGATGATCAAAATATACGGATCAAAATGAACGATGAGAGATCAAAAGAGCCGCATCAAAAGGTGAACATTTGCCGAGGGAACGGGGATCAAAATAAAAAAGAAGAAAGAAAAAAGATGATAAGCGGAAAAAGATGAAAATAGCAGAATGTTCGCGCGAGCCTAATGAATTCTCCCGGAATCCTCCGCGCCCCTCTCGACAGGACGTCGTCATTTCCGGTGTTAATATTCGCAATTAACGTTTATAATAATGTACCAAGTGATAACCGCCAATACGGAAACTCGCAAGCCAATGAGCATAAAAATCAAACTAAAATAAACTCACCGTCTCGTCGTGTCGTTGAGCGATTCGCACTCGCTCGCATGTGTGCGAGAGACGGAGAAAGAGAAAGAGAAAGAAAAAGAGAGAAAGAGAAAGAAAGAAAGAGAGATCACTGGATATCCTTTCGACGCTACCAAAAAGATCAAATCCCTCCTCCCTGCATACGTATTTGTTTTTAAGTCCTTAGGTGTATACACAGAGGCACGTCGGAGTGTGAAAGAAGTTAAGCTGTTCGCGCGCTCGGGAGTGGTGCGTGCGTGTGCAAGCGACGTAATTCGAAAGAGTGTGCGATGTGAGCAGAGAGAGAGAGAGAGAGAATGTTTTGTCTCACGGTATGCGACGGTGCGTATTCCGCGAATATATTCTTCCAAATATTCCGCATATCGTATTCTCTCGCCTCGAGTCCTCTAACCCACGGAAGAGTCGTCTCTCTCCGCGAACTTTCTCACGAGATTCGCGGGAACTTTGAAGAACCGGCGCGCCTGGAATCTCGAGGATTTCTCCCTCGGTGAGTTGGTTCGAGACCGACGTAATGGTACGTGCACGCAAAATCGCATGCGGGCGCGCGCGCCGCCGACGAGCGCTTAGTTCTAGCTCTCCCGTATTACAGCATATCATCATTACGCGTAAAGCGACACGGAATCTATCGATAAACTAAGATAGTGTTATCTCTGTTCTATGGACTCTTCTCATTGCTGTCCCTTATTAAAACGAGTCCTTCAACCGGCGTAAATCTCACCGCGTCGCACGCGTCGTTCCCGCCGATCGGGCTCGTCCTCGTCGACAGCTCGAAGCGGACTCGCACATATAGGGGGTCGGCGTCGAGGAGAACGCGTCGAGGAGCTCTCGTCGTCGCGGAGCTCGCGTGGATGTGCCGGTTGGAAGCATTAAGTGTCTAATGAACGTTGCGTTTGTTGTACAATGAGTGTTAATTGCACGTGCGAGGTCGTGGAGAGGGTGGAATCGTTCGCGGGACATTGTTCGCTCCTCTCCGGAGGTGTTACCTCGGAGCCGTCGTCTTCTCGCGGAAGCGTGCGTTCGATTCTTGTGATTAGCGCGATGCTCGTTACCCTCGGTTTCTCACGTCACCTTGGACCTTGCACTTGCACGTGCAGAACGATTCAGTGAACGATAACAGCTCACTATCTGTCGAGGCGTTCGCGATCGCACGTTGCAGTTATCACTCAGTGTGGAACAGGTGTAGCTGATATTTCGTGCTTGACTTCTCTGTGTGTGGAGCTCGCATGGAGACTCTCCGTGTTTTAATCGCATTGTAACATAGCATGATAGAAGATACATCAGTATAAACCTAGAGACTAATTTTTCAGATCTTTCGATAATTAACGACTGGACGTACCGGGAAAGGTGCGCGTGCATCTCGGTGGTGAACTCTCGATCATGGAGAAACTTCTAAGTCGGCTCTTCCTCACGCGACGTGATCCACGCTCAGACATATCGCGAGTGATATTTTAAACATCAGCATTTGACGACTAAACTTCTTCTTTTGATTAGGAACAAATGTCGATCGCGATTGCGATGGCAAAAAGGCGAGTCCTCTGATTTTTATTTCAGGGCTCCTGGCTCTCCGCCGTGGGGTCATCGATTGATGACGTCAGAGGCGAGAAGATATGTAGAAAATTTTAAGCAAAATTCGTTGAAATAAAAAGATGTACTCAAGATAGACAAAACGACACTTGCGATCGATCGAGGCACATCTATAAAATAGTCTGAACGCTTCCCTGTTGCTCAACAACAATCAACAAATTACCTACCTTTTCGACTTACCTTTCCTCAAGATTTTGTCATGCCAATTGTACAGTTAGATTTATCTATTGATTACAACAAAAGAAGAGTGTTTGGCTATTTTACACATCTGCTCGATCAATTGCAAATGCCATTTTATGGATTCATCTTTCCTACGTATTTTGCAAAAATTTTCAGCCTGTATTTTCTCGCTCTTCTGACGTCATAAACCAAGATGACTTCAATGAGGCACACAGGAGCCTTGAGCGTCAGTATCTGATGACTAATCGCTAACTACTTGTTTAGATTGGAAACAAATGCCAATCGCTATTGCGGTAGAAAAAAGCGAGTTTCTTGGTTCTTCTTTCAAATAAATCCAAATTTTTACAATATCACAATTTAAAATAACTAATTTAAGTTAAATTAAAGTTAAATTAAAAGTTGATTTCTTAAAAAATAAGTTAAATTAAGGCTTCTTGTATCTCACCATGTCGAATTAGTGACGTGAGAAGCGGGGAACGACATATTGACGAAAGTTGCGTGCCATTTCTAAACAAAGATAAATATAAATCAAAAAGAGCACTTGAGGCTGTTTGAGCATACTTGTAAAATTGTCCGAAAGGTATCTCTTTCCTGACGATTAATAAATAGTTGTATAATAAGTGAAATGAGGCATGGAGACAAAACAGACTCACTTCATTATATTTCACATGTTTCATTTCACCATTTATTATACGACTATTTGTGATTTTTTAGGCTTTCGCGGTGTTCATGCATATTAGATTTGGTTTCCGAGTTTGAGCCGCGTGGATTCATCTTTGTTTGATTCCGATGTTTCGCGAACATTTCAGTCCGCTTCATTAGGCATCGGGTCGTTCTTCCCTGATGAAGCGGACTGAAATGTTCACGAAACATCGGAATCAAACAAAGATGAATCCACGCGGCTCAAACCTGGAAACCAAATCTAATATACGACTATTTATTGACCATCAGAAGAAAGAGATACCTATCGGATAATTTTACAAATATATTCCAGCAATCCCAAATTCTCTTTCGTCCATATTTATCTTTATTCAGACATGACATGCGACTTTCATCAGCATGTCATTCTTCATTTCTGACATCACAAATTCGACATGGCCGGCGAAGTACAAGGAGCCTTAAAAGTTATTTTTATTTTAACTTTTTAATTTAAATTTCATTTGATTAACAAATTATTACTCTATCCTGATGGATTATATATATATTAATCATATATTTGCCCAACATTTATTTATTAATCACATTTATTTCGTTTTCATGTATTGATTATATATATTAGTTTATACATTGACTATGTTTGGTTATATACTGAGAGAAAAGTATATACTTAAAGAAATATGTATAATTGATATACGAAAACGAGATAAATGCGATTAGTAAATATAAATATATAATCAATATATATAATTCATCAGGGTAATAATTTGTTAATCAATTAAAATTTAAATAAAAAAGTTAAAATGTTAATAACTCTTAACTTAATTTATTTTTGAAGGAATCAACTTTTAAGTTAAATTAGTTATTTCAAATTGCGTTAATTCTTGGTTGCTAATTTCTTTCCCTAAATTAAAATAACTTATCAATTTTTTTTATGAACAACTACTTTTTCATTACTTTACCTAAACTCAATATCAGTATTTAAAAATTTATTTATTTAAAAAATATATATTGCTTTGTATATTTAACTTTAATAAGATAATTAAATTTTAATTTAACTTTTAATAAAGTTAGTTTTTGCTTATGTAGTTTTTAACTCAACTAAGTTAATTAAAAAGACTATTGACTTCAAATTTAATGCGATTTACAAAAGATTACCCGATCTAATGAGTACACATATATAATCAATTTTGAAGTTTGCATCCGATCTCGCGTGGAAAGTGAAGTGAAAATAAAATTTATAATATAATATTTAATGGTATATTTATATAACTTGATTAACAACTCTTTTTATCGTTATTCTCAGATGTTATAGAATTGCTCGCCTTTACATATGTTGTGTTTTCCATCAGCAATGATTGACGGATAAGGATAGTTGAGTGCATTCCGTAATGCGCCTGGATTCAATATCAGAGCACGGACGTAATATATGTATAATTCTACCTTAATTTTTTTGAGAGAAAAGAAACATATTTCATCAAGGTTATATAATTATTTTCAGTTATATCAGTTATATCTGAAAATGGTTATTCTGACAATAATTTCTTTTTTATTTCTGTAATTTCGTACTATATGATTATAGTTGAAATTACGAAAAAGATAAATTATTTGGTTCTTTTTTCAAATGAGCACAGATTTTTACAATATCGCAATTTAAAATAAATAATTTAAATTAAAAGTTAATTTCTTCAAAAATAAGTTAAGTTAAAAATTATTAACGTTTTAACTTTTTAATTTAAATTTTAATTGATTAGCAAATTATTACTCAACGAAGATTAAAACGGTTTATATTCCAAATACACTCGTCAACAAAATTATCGCATAGGTAAATATATGTCGAAATTTCACACAATTTTAAATGAGCATAATACCGCGAAACATTATCATATTTGGAATCTTTTTTTTATCTTAAAAAGTGAAGTCTATACTTTAAGGTGTATTTGTCCGATTTTAAATTTACTCTTTCTCCTTTCCGCAGTCTTTTAAAAAATAAAGACGTGTTGCGTCTTTAAAAAGTTGTACAATTTGACGTATTTTACGGGGTGGACTAAATTTTTTTCGTAAATTTCATAATAACCATCGTAAAGTATAGACTTTCCCCTGCAATTAAAAAAAAAGGTGAATTTGTACGATTTTTTTTCGCGGAATTACGACTCGTTTTCGTGTATCGATTATATATATTTTTTTAACACTTCTCTCTCACTATATAACCAAATGTAGTCAATCTATAGACAAATATATATAATCGATACATGAAAACGAGATAATTATGATTAGTAAGTGTTGAGTAAATATATAATCAATATATATAATCCGCCAGGGTTGGGTAATAATTTATTAATCAATTAAAATTTAAATTAAAAAGTTAAAATGTTAATAACTTTTAAAGTCTCTTATATCTCGCCAGCTATGTCGAATTTGTGACGTCAGAAGTGAGGAATGCTAATGAAAGTTACATATCGTTTCTGAATAAAGATAAATATAGACGAAAGGGTATTTGAGATTTGAGTTTGAGTTTTACACTTGTAAAATTGTCCAAAAGGTATCTTTTTCTTCTGATCAATAAATAGTCGTATAATAAATGATGAAAAGAAACATGTGAAATAATGAAGTGAGTCTGTTTTGTCTCCATGCCATTTCACCATTTATTATACAACTATTTATTAAATGTCAGAGAAAAAGGATACTTTTTGGACAATTTTACAAGTATGCTCAAACGGTCTCAATTTATTTAGAAATTGCAATTTTTTCAGTGTGTCGTTCCTCTCTTCTGACGTCACAAATTTGGTATAACCGAATTTGACGAGGTGTACAAAGAATCTTAACATAATTTATTTTTCAAGAAATCAAGTTTTAACTTAAATTAGTTATTTTAAATTATGATATTGAAAAAATCTATGTTTATTCGAAAGAAGAACTAAGGGACTCGCCTTTTTCGTAATTTCAATTATAATTACATAGTAAGAAATTATAAAAATAAAAAATGTAAAAAGAATTATTGTCAAAACACACACACAACAAAGAATATCCATTTTCAATTATAACTGATATTGAAAATAATTATATAATTTTGATGAATCATATTTCTTTTCTCTCAATAAAAATTGAAATGAAATTATACATATATTACGTTCGTGCTCTGATATTGAATTCAGGCGCGTTACGAAATGCACTCAACTATCCTTATCCGTCAATCATTGTTGACGGAAAACACAACATATGTAAAGGCGAGCAATTCTATAACATCTGAGAATAACGATAAAAAGAGATGTTAATCAAGTTATATAAATATACCATTAAATGTTATATTATACATTTTATTTTCACTTCACTTTCCACGCGGGATCGGATGCAAACTTCAAAATTGATTATATATGTGTACTCATTAGATCGGGTAATCTTTTGTAAATCGCATTAAATTTGAAGTCAATAGTCTTTTTAATTAACTTAGTTGAGTTAAAAACTACATAAGCAAAAACTAACTTTATTAAAAGTTAAATTAAAATTTAATTACCTTATTAAAGTTAAATATACAAAGCAATATATATTTTTTAAATAAGTAAATTTTTAAATACTGATATTGAGTTTAGGTAAAGTAATGAAAAAATAGTTGTTCATAAAAAAAATTGATGTTATTTTAATTTAGGAAAAGAAATTAGCAACCAAGAATTAACGCAATTTGAAATAACTAATTTAACTTAAAAGTTGATTCCTTCAAAAATAAATTAAGTTAAAAGTTATTAACATTTTAACTTTTTTATTTAAATTTTAATTGATTAACAAATTATTTCCTATTCCTGATGGATTTTATATATATATATATATATATATATATATATATATATATATATATATATATATAT